GACCAGACCCCCCCCAAAACACACACACACACACACACACACACACACACACACACACACACACACACACACACACACACAGAACAAAAAACCCAAAACAACAATAACAAAATCCCAAGCATGGCAAGAGTCACACTCACACACACACACACACACAGAACAAAAAACCCAAAACAACAATAACAAAATCCCAAGCATGGCAAGAGTCACACACACACACACACACACACACACACACACGCACACACACACAGAACAAAAAACCCAAAACAACAATAACAAAATCCCAAGCATGGGAAGAGTGTTTCCCATCTTTTAAAACTGCTATTCACATACTTTTAGAAAGGCAACTATGTAAGACCAAGTATGATCTTTAAATATAAATTAGCATAAACACAAAACAGATTAGAGACTGATTTACAAAAATAACCAACAGTGCAATTTTTCTTTATAGTTAAGATGAATGTGTGGCAATGCTTTGAATGTGCAAAGGTGACCTTCCTGATGGTAACATAGGTCTCATATAGTGATGGAACTCTTCAGCCTTTGATACTGCCAGGTGGGGACTGTGTAGGGTCAGCTGGTCTCTGTGGGCCATTTCCAGCTTTCTCAATAATATAGCAATTATCTCTACTTGTGTCATGAAATAAGTCTAGAAAACATTGTCTTCAATTGTCTTTACTCAAAAGCGGAGTGAAATTATGAGAGGCAATAGTACAATGGAGTCATTTAAAAATGTTGTTACCAAATAAAACCTAATATCCATGTTACAGGTCTATACTACTATAGGTCTACTCTACTGTTTTCTGATATTTTTTCTCCCTCTTCCTCCACCCCACCCAGAGATTAAAACCAAGATCTCATATGTGCTAACTATATAACCCACCTCCAAGCTGAACCCTTAATTCCCACATATTATTTATCTATTTGCATCCCTCCCATGCCTCTCTTAGGATATCTTAAGCCTAATAACAATACCACTCAACCTAGTAAATTATTGTGGGAGAACAACAAGAGAGGGGGTAATAATGCTTGACAAGAAATGTAGTCATTGCCTTACTCATGTAACTATAACCCCTGTGGTACAGCATATTTACAATAAAACAAATTCTAAACATAGTACTATCTTTGGTATAAAGTTAAGTTTGGGGACAGCAGAAGAATCCATATTCTCTGTGCAAGAGCTAAATGCATTCAAGGTAAATGTCAAACTGTGCACCAGTGACTCATTACTATGATCTTAGCTATTTCAGAGGCTGAGACCTGAGGACCATGGTTCAAAGCCAGCCAGGCAGGAGAAAAAAAAATCCATGAGATTCTTACCGCTAATTAGCAACATGATGGCAGTAAAAGCATGGTTCAAATGTAGACCACCAGCCTTGAGCAAAAAAGCCAAGTCAGACCATAAAGCTGGGAGTTCAAACTCCAGTAATCAGCAAGGTAAGTATCAAATTCCACTTGTTAAAAATCAAAACCAAAGTACTGAATAAATGTTCAATGAAAAATCTTCATAGAACAAAAGCCAAAATCGTAAAGACCAGCTGTTAAATGGCCAAAACACTGAAACTCAAATGTTCTGTTCCAGTTTGTAGCAGCTGAAATGGGACTAGTCCCCAGCCTTCCTGGCTCCTCAAGGACTCCTTCAGAGTCTGCTAATTGCTCCTTTCAGTCTCTCTAAAACCATAAAACAATGTACTTCCTGCTCTTCAGGGAAACAGGATCTCTGGCTAATCTTAAACTAGCAAATCATTTCTTGAGGAGCCACAATTTAATTGTATGTGATTAATCAACATCAAATTTATGATAGTGAAATTCATGTTCCTTTATTATCTAGTCCTTGTTTACATTTGTGAAATAATATGGCAACTTTTTCTGTGTCCTGACACTGAGTAGGAAATACCCTTAAGAACAAACTATCACATTTTTCATTAAATAGTTATTTTGGGGACAAATATTGTGACACATCAAAAAATAAGCTACATTTGAACGCACAATGAAGAATCACTAACAGAATTTCATTCCTTGTATGAGAAAATGGTTCAGACAAGAGGTGTTACCACCCAGAAAGACAATGTGAGTTTGGTAAGAAAACTGAAAGCCTAAAATAGCGTCAAATGAATGAGGAGATGGAGGAAGCAATATACAGATTAAAAAAGGAAATACAGGATATTTGCCTAAATTCTTATACTCAGAGCAGCTGTACTTCAAACCAGGAAATGCCTATATTCATTGGCAAAACTTAGGGAAGTTGTAGCTTCAACTTCCACATTAACTAGCACCATATAGTGATAACAAATACAAACTTGAATTCTTTAAATTCATTTTACAAGTTTTAACAAGAAAAACCTTAAAAAAAAAAAAGAAAAAAAGGAGGCAACCTATGTTTTTATTTTTAGGCAGTATAATGTGCACCTTGAGTTAACCTGAAACCCAAGCAGAGACGTTCTGCATGCTATAGAAGGTCTGTTCTGTAAGAAAAAATGTTTCTTGAATGATGTGAAGAAAAATGAAACTAGTTCTCCCAGCATTCCCCCCTCTCCCATGAAAGTCCTGTGCCCCAAAAGTTGTTTTTTTGGTTTTTTTTGGGTCAGTCATGGGGCCTGAACTCTGGGCCTGGGTGCTGTCCTTCAGCTCTTCAGCTCAAGGCTGGCACTCAACTACTTGAGCCACAGCGCCACTTCTGGCTTTCTGAGTGGTTTATTGGCGAAGAGTCTTTCCTGCCTGGGCTTTCTTTGAAATCTCAGCCTCCAGAGTAGCTGGGATTACAGGCATGAGCACCCAGCCCAAAATGGTTTTAATTAATGAAATGCTATCAATTCACATCCTAGTGTCCAAATTTCAGAATTCTTAGATTTCAGAATTCTTCATTTAACTAGGTAGCAAGTGATGATTAACAATTTAGTGAAATTATAACCTGGGTCTGGAGCATATTAGCAGAAAGTAATAATTATTTTATGCTGAAATAGCACTACGCCCTATTATCTGCAGGGGAGGCAAATCACCACCACCACCACACATACATACACACACACACACACTGCAGGCACACATATGTGCACATACATACACATGCACACAAGAAACACAGGTGTTTTCCAAATTCTCTTGGAATTATTTTCATTTCTATTCAAATCACCTATCATATTAAAGAAATACACAAGTCTTCTCACTCTTCACATTCATTTTTGCTTAACTTTATTCTTCAGGTGAAAAACTGACAGAAATATGATAACTCAAAAAGTGCAGAAACACCTCACACATCTCTGAGGCCCTGTAGCAATCTAACAAATATTTGCTGAGCTTACTACTTATGTCAGAGGATTAACAAAAAAAAAATTTCTCGGGGCTGGGAAGGTGGCTCAGTGATAGAGCGCTTGCCTTGCATGCCTGAGGCCCTGGGTTTGATTCCTCAGCACCACATAAGCACAAAGAAAAAAGCCGGAAGTGGCGCTGTGGCTCAAGTGGTAGAACGCTAGCCTTGAGCTGAAGAGCTGAGGGACAGCGCCCAGGCCCAGAGTTCAGGCCCCACGACCGGAGCCCCCTTCCCCCCCAAAAAAAAATTGTCCAAAGGACTTACAGATCGACTGCAGCAATGTTCCAAACTGGCCAGCAACATTTATACTCAATTTAAATTCAAAGAATAGTACCTTGCAAGGTGGAGAAAAAAAACGACTACTGAATGGACATGGCCTCATTAATGATCACCAAGATGGCAGCATCCCAGCAGGTTTTCCTGATTCCAAACCCTTTCCTTTTTAATCCATCTTGCCTGGGACTGCCAAAACTCATTCTTAGATTTCCACTTTCCAGGAATCTCCCAAGAAGCCTCAAAGACTCCCAGCCACCCACCTATCACATGTAACTCATACTCTTGGACCTGAAGTCGTATTCAGACGAGCTCCACCAGTCTCATGCTCCTCGTGGCTGTCCTCTCTTTGGGAGGAGTCGGCCCAAATGTAATTCAACTACTTGCTCGCATGCCCCAGGCATGGACATGTCAGGTCCATCAGTTTTCCAGACACTCGTAAAGGACGAGCTCTTAGCTTTCTTCACCAGTGGCACGTTCATCCCAAGGTATTCTTATAACGATTACCAACCCAAACAGATGTTCGCATTCCTGACCGACCTCTGGAGAAACCAGAGGGATCGCTTTAGTTCAGGCGTGGGAGTCCCACCAGCACCTCTCGCAAGAGGTGGGACACAGGGTTTGGGACAGCTGCAAACTACAGACGGGGGGAAAAATAAAGGAAGCAAAAGGGAAAGGGAAGTCCTTTGGGAGGAGAAGCCGTGGGAGAGGAGACTCCAGGAAACGAATTCCTGAGGGAGGACAGAAGCAATGCACGGTGCGTGCGCCTCTGTCTCCCGTTTCTCTCGCTCGCTCGCTCTCTCTACGTGGGAATTAGGGGCTGGGGACTCCGGACCAAGAAAGCGACGACCATTCTAGGGAGGGGAGGGGGAGACAGGTTTCAACGCGAAACAAAGAGATCGGGGGTCGGGAGGTGAGGGACGGAGGCTGGAGATCCGGGCATCTCCGGAGGGGACTCGCCGCTCCCCTCGGGGACCGGCGGCGGACGTGGTTGCCAGGAGGGACGAGGTCGGTTCCCGGGCAGGAAAGCTCCGGGGCGAGCGAGCGAGCGTCCCCGGGGCTCCGCTTCACGGAGGGCGCGGGGGCGGGGAGGTGTTTTTGAGTGAGGACGCACCCCCAGAATGGGAGAATCGCTCCCCAGGATAGTGTTCTCCACGAATGAAAACCCTAAGGATGCGGAGAACACTGAGGAATCGGCATTTACCAACCCCGGTCCGGCTTCCCCACACACTCACCGCGTCTCTTCCAAACGCCACCGCTCCAGCTGCAGCTACCGGCCGGCGCAGCCGCACTGAGCGCGCACCGCCCACGTGACGCGACGGCCCCGCCCTCCTCGCACCACGTGACCCGCCACAGCCCGCCCGCTAGCTCCTCCCACACGTCACTCTTCTCCACGTGGTCCGGTCTGGTCCCCGCCTTGTTAGAAAGATGGCGGCTCCATGCTGTAGTGTGCCTGCCTTCTGGGTCCTGGGCACGAATAAGCGTTTAGGGGGTCTCTTGACGCTCATCTCTAAGTCATTTTGTTCCGCGGCTACTGCCTCTAGGCCTCTGAGCGCTCAGAAGTTAGCAGAGAAGCTTCGAGCCCAGAAACAGGAGCAAAAGAAGCAAAAGCTGCCGGTAAGCATGGAAGGACTACAAGTCCCAGGAGGCAGTGCGCGCACCGGCTCTCCAGACCAGGGGGGTGCGGCGGAGGACCCTTGACCCCGAGTCAAGTCACTGTCGGGTGTGAGGGTATCTGGTGTGGCGGTAGTGTGGGGGTACGCTGTGTTCCTTTGGGCTGGGTCTGCTTCTCTCGGGCTGAGACACACAGCGGCCGCCTTGGTGGAAGGTAAAGATGCATTCCTGCCCGCGCCTTGTTGAAGGTCTTCTTCCCTGCTCGCCCTCGGTCCACACGTCCTCACCAGGCATTGCTCACGCTCTTTCCTCTCCCTCTTTGTTGGTTGTGTACTGAGGCTTGAACGCAGGGCCTGGGCTCTGTCCCTCCACTTTTCCACTCGAGGCTGGCGCTCTGCACCACTTGAGCCACACCTCTGTCTGGCTTTTTGCTGGTTAATTCGAGATAAAAAGTCTCACGGACTTTTCTGCCCAGACTAGCTTGAAATCGATTCTCACATCTCAGCCTCCTGAGTAGTTAGGATAGCAGGCGGGAGCCATTGATGCCCAGTTCCTTCTCTTCTCTTTAGGTACCTAAAAACCCTGTTCAGCGGAGGGTGCAAGAGCTGGTGCGATTCACGCAGCAGCTGCAGCGAGTTCATCCCAACGTGCTTGCCAAGGCACTGACTCGCGGGATTCTCTACCAAGACAAGGACCTCGTGGTCATCAATAAGCCTTATGGTCTCCCTGTTCACGGTATGGAGCATGTGGGAAAAGGAGGGACTTGCTGATTTCTCTTACAGCCAGGAGCACTGTGAAACATTACACGGGAAACCCTCTTGCATTCAGATCAGACCTTGGCCAAGTTTTGTTCTATGTCAGGGAACTGTAGAGGATACAGACTTAAGTATCCAGTGTCTTATAAACTACCCACAGCAGGGATATGCAGAATGTGTGGGTGCACGCCCCCCTCCCCACTCCCAGGGATTGCTGAAGAGGAATACCAGAGCTGTGTGGTGCTAGTCTTCTGGTTGTTTTCCACCAAAACTGGGAAAGAGAGCCAAGTGTATTGGTGGATGTACCAGTTGCTTGCACTTGTAGTTGCACCTGTAATTCCAGGGCCTCCAGAGGCTGAGGCTGAGGAGGATTAGGAGCTCCAGGGTAGTCTGGGCAACAGTGAAACCCCATTTCAAAAAGAGGAAAAACACGGGCTAGGAATGTGGCTTAGTGGTAGAGTGCTTGCCTGCTGTGCATGAAGCCCTTGGTCAATTCCTCAGTACTTCATAAATGGAAAAGGCCAGAAGTGGTACTGTGGCTCAAGTGGTAGAATACTAGCCTGGAGCAAAAGAAGTTCAGGGACAGCACCCAGGCCCTGAGTTCAATCCCCAAGACTGGCAAAAATAAAAATAATAAGAGGCTGGCTCATGCCTGTAATCCCACCTACTCAGGAGGCTGAGATCTGAGGATCCCTGTTCAAAGCCAGCCTGGGCAGGAAAGTCTGTGAGGCTCTTATTTTCAATAAACCACCAAAAAACTGGAAGTGGCTCTGTGGCTCAAGTGGCAGAGCACTTGCCTTGAGCTGAAGAGCTAAGGGACAGTGCCCAGACCCACAGTTCAAACCCCATGACCAACAACAACAACAACAAAAAAGGAAGAACATCCTAACAAAAACACCAAAAAAACCCAACAATTGGGAAAGAGGAAATCATATACAAGATTTTAAAAAAAGATGTGTGGTGTGTTGTAGTATATCTAACATAAAACCCTATAGTCTGTGGAACTTAATGGACATTCACATGCCACTGAATAAATATTGAATGTAATAATAAGGGACAGCTGAAGTGAGTTAGAAAAAAACTGATATACTTCATGAAACACTTGTAGGAGAAGACATAATTTATCTAGAATAAATATTTTAATTGCTCTTTTGGGGGAGGTGTAGAGATGGTGGTTCAGAGAATTAAAGCAGACATTGTTAAGTGCTTTGCATGATTTTCTGTTCCTCTTGATTCTTACAGCATTTCCCAGTGAGATTATTTGCTAGATATTTACAGTTTGTAGATGAGAACACAAAGTTGGGATGATTGTCCAAGGTTAGAAGGCTACTTAGGAGAATACAGAGCTGGCTTCAGGAAGGCTTGCAGTTTTGCAAACTTTATTCAAGAAGAAAGCTTAGCTGAGCTCCAGTGGCTCACACCTGTAATCCTAGATACTCAGGAGGTTGGGATCTGAATGTGTCAGTTCAAAGCCAACCCCGGGCAGTAAAGTCCTTGATACTAAGCTCCAATTAACCACCAGAAAACCAGAACTATTGCTGTAGCTCAAAGAGGTAGAGTGTTAACCTTGAGGGGGAAAAAGCTCAGGGACAGCTCCCAGGCCTTGAGTTCAAGCCCCATGACAAACAAAAGGAAGAAGAAAAGGAGGAGGAAAAAGAGGGAACAGAAGGAGGAAACAGAAATGGAGAAAGAAAAGGAGGAAAGCTTAGGCTTTAGGACATTGTTTCTTAACATTTTAATTGCTTAGGAGCCATTTAAGCAGCTTGTTAAAATGCAGATTCCAACTTAGTTTAGGGGCCCTGAGCTTCATTTTCAGTAAGGGAGATCTCCTATGTATTGGTATCACTAGATCTTCCGTACTTTAGTAATACACTCCAGAACATGTTGATAGTTAATGTAGTGACAACTTTTCCCCCAAGAAGGATTCTTTGATGAAAACACTCCAACCTCTGACTTTTCCCTTCTTAGGTGGCCCTGGGGTCCAGCTCTGCATCAATGAAGTACTGCCCATCATGGGAAAGATGCTTCATGGCCACAAAGCAGAGCCTTTGCATCTATGCCACCGGCTGGATAAAGAAACCACAGGTGTAATGGTTTTGGCTTGGGAGAAGGAAGTGGCACATCAGGTTCAGGAGTTGTTTAGAACCCGTCAGGTGGTGAAGAAGTACTGGTATGAGACATGATTGCAGCATTTCTTTTTTTTTTTTTTTTTTGGTCGGTTGTGGAGTTTGAACTCTGGGCTTGGGCACTATTCCTCAGCTCTTCAGCTCAAGGCGAGTGCTGTACCACTTGAGCCACAGAACCACTTCCTGTTTTCTAATGGTTTATTGGAGATAAGAGTCTCACGGATGTTCCTACCATGGGCTGGCTTTGAACCGTGATCCTCAGATCTCAGCCTCCTGAGTAGCTTAGGAATTCAGGCGAGAGCCACCGGTGCCCAGCTAGCATTTCTTGTGTCTAGACGTTTATCCATCACAGAGCAGGAACTGTTGATAGAAGGCACTGTACTAGGGCCAGTTAAGATACAAAGAGAGGTTAAAAAATTTGATGCTTAGTATGTTAATAGTCTGATAAGAGTAGTTAAAAGTGTTAAGTGGTTAAGAGTGGTTCTTAATTATAGCTGTACATCATAATTATCAAAAATAATTATACAGAGCTGGGAAGGTGGCTCAGTGGTAGAGCGCTTGCCTTGCATGCATGAGGCCCTGGGTTTGATTCCTCAGCACCACATAAGCAAAAAGAAAAAAAAAGCCGGAAGTGGTGCTGTGGCTCAAGTGGTAGAGCGTTAGCCTTGAACTGAAGAGCTGAGGGACAGCGCCCAGGCACAGAGTTCAGGCCCCACGATTGGACCCCCCCAAAAAAAAATAATTATAAAATAATATGATTTTACTCCTATGCTAAAATAAGCAAACAAAGGTAAAGCAAAAATCTTCTAGAGAATCTACCTCCCCTCACATTCTACTAGATCCTTCCCTTCAGGTAACAACCACTACTTCTTATTCAATCCATTTACGTTATGTCTAATATATATAGCACTTGCACGTGTATACACACACACACATACATGAGCGTATATCACATTATACGATTTACATCTTATTTTTTGCTGCCACTGAACTATCTTGGAGATCTTTGAATGTTAGTGCATATAGTTCTACTTCAGTTGTTTTTCTTCATAGAAAAAGATATATGAACCAAAAAGAATCCTTCTGTTCTGAATCTATGCAGTTCTTTCTCCCAGAAGCAGTCTCTAGAACAGTGTCTTATATAAACTTCCGAAGTTATACTGGGAATATATAAACACAGTATTGTATGGCAGCATTGTGTGTGTGTGTAGGTGCATGTGTGTGTACACTGTGGCTTAAACTGGCACTGTCTTGGCTTGCTTTCTCTCAGCACTTGAGCCACTGGTGCACAGCTTGTAAGCATACTTTATACTCTGCTTTGCACCCTGCTGTTTGCACTTGGATTGTGTGCCTTGGAGAGCATTTCATGTTGTGTATTTAGACCTGTCTCCATTGTAACGGCTCTAGGATATTCTGCCAAATGAATAGATGTTTTAGATAAATGGTTCATATTATTCAGAGTCTTTTGCAGCTATGGGTGAATGTATTTAGCTTACTCTATTTTCTCTTACTATAACAATACCTGAGTGTAAGTAATTTGTAAAGGAAAGAGGTTATTTTGACATAGGGTTCTGGAGGTATGATCTGTTGGGGGCTTTGTGCTGCTTCACCTTGTGATAGAAAGTAGAAGGGCAGGTAGGCATGTATAGTAAAGGGAAAACCAGAAGGTTGCCTTCTGCTTGTGTGGTTAACACTCCAGTCTCTGCAGTGGGAACTCCTCGCTGGAAGGGAACTCAGTCCCACTGGAGTAATAGTCCTTTCTTTCCTTTCCTTTTTTCTTTCTTTCTTTTGTTCATTCTTTCATTCTCTCTTTTATTGATATTGTGAAGGAGTTGTACAAAGGGATTACAATTCCATAAGTCAGGTGATGAATACAATGCTTCTTGGACAATGTCACCCCTTCTTTCACTTTCCCCCATTTTCTCCCTCCTGTCCCTGTCCACAGGTCACATAGTTCACATAGTTCTAATATATACATAGTGTATATTAGATATCATGACTGCATTTGTTTACCCTTCATTCCTATTCTTCCCTGTTGCCCCCACTAAAAAGACAACAATAAAAACAACACCAACAATAACAATAACATGTTTCCAAGTAGTTCTCATTCTTTTTTTTTTTGCTGGTCCTGGGGCTTGAATTCAGGGTCTGTACACTATCCCTGAACCTCTTTGTAAGTTCAAGGCTAGCACTCTACCACTTGAGCCACAGCACCACTCCCAGCGATTTCTGAGTAGTTTATTGGAGACCCATAGACTTTCCTGCCCAGGCTGGTTTTAAACTGGGATCCTCAGATCTCAGCCTCCTGAGTAGCTAGGATTATAGACATGTACTACCAGCACCTGGCTTAGTTCTCATTCTTAATAACCTTGGGGCTGGGAAGGTGGCTCAGTGGTAGAGTGCTTGCCTTGCATGCATGAGGCCCTGGGTTTTCCCCAGCACCACATAAGCAAAAAGAAAAAAAAGCCAGAAGTGGCGCTGTGGCTCAAGTGGTAGAGTGCTAGCCTTGAACTGAAGAGCTGAGGGACAGCACCCAGGCCCAGAGTTCAGGCCCCACGACCGGACCCAAAAAAATAATAATAACCTAATCTCCCTTTAGAAGCTGAACTTCTCAATAACCCACAATGGCAATTCAACTTCAATGTGGCAGGAATAAACCACATCCAAACCATAGCAATGTTTTTAGAGTAAATTCCTAGACCTCAAACTGTTTGATTGAAGGCCATGCCTGTTTAAAGTTTTAGTACTCAAACTGCTTTCCAAAAGTTTTCAGTTTGTACTCCCTACAGCAACAAGGCTGAGCACTGACCTCCCATTAAAGAACAAACCTTTTAAAAAAGTTTACTACTCTGATGGGTAAAAAGAAATAATAATAGGATTTTATTTTCTATTTCCCTGTGTACTAGTTACATGAGCTGTCTTTTTGTACTTATTAAACTTAAACTTTCTGTTCTAGAAATAAACTATTAATTTTTCCTTTGCTGATTTTTCTATTGAGTTATCTTTTTCTCTTTTGCTTACAGGTATTTATTTTCTACTTTACATGATAGTCCTTTTTGTTTGACAGATTTTACAGATACAGGTCCTGGGTGCTGTCCCTAGGCCTCTTTGTGCTCAAGGATAGCGCTCTACCACTTGAGTCACTCCAGCTTTTTTGAATAGTTCTTCTGGAGATGAGCATCTCACAGGGACATTTCCGGCTGGACTGGCTTCAAACTGCAAGCTCAGATCTCAGCCTAATTTTATAGATACATTGTAATTGGAGAGCCCTTTAAAAATCTTATGTTTCACTTGGTTAGCTGAAGCAAGAGGATCAAGAGTTTGAGGCTTGCCTTAGATTACATAGAGACTCTTGTCTCAAAAAATAAATAAATAAATAAATTTAATAAATAAAAATACCACAAAACCAAACCAAAGGAAAAACCCTTCATAAATTCCTAGGGCATACAATCAAATTGTAAAAACCACTATAATAGATTATGATTCTCTTGGTATAGTGCCTAGCCTAAGAGCTTGATACTTCTTATAAGCTTATATCTTTTACTACTAAAGTTATAATAGCAATCATATAGTATTTGGGGGGAAAAGAGAAGAAAAGCATGTTAGTAACATAGTCTTTAATAATCTTTATAAATGGTTGTATATAGTTAAAAGAAAATTAGGACAATACGGTTTTTGTATCCCGTTTTTCTTTTTAAAATAATAAAGGTGGTGGATTCTGATTCTATACTAAATGGACAAACAGAACAATGAATGAACCAGTCAAGTAAAAAACTCATAGGACCACCTATTATATTTTTCACATAGATAAACAGGAAGAAACTGTGCCCCAAAAGTCAGGAGCCACAGCCACGACTCTGTAACCCATTCCAAATCTCTTCTGTGGGTAGTCTTCTTCTTACCTCATAGACAGCATAAGAAACTATGAAGAATGCCCGTGGTTAGTACCAAGTCTGCTGTGAGGTCCTGTAAGCTGCCAAGTCCCAGGAGCTCCTCCCTGGCTTCCATGGTGAAGCACTGGTTTATGTGTCACCCTCAGGGCCATCACTGTGCGAGTCCCCATGCCATCTGCAGGAGTGGTGGATATCCCCATGATTGAGAAGGAGGTTCAAGGGCAGCAGCAACACCACAAGGTAGGGGAGCTGTCTCCCTGAGGCATGGGTTTCTGCTCTGCTTTAGAAATTATGTCTTGATTTCTTTGGCTTCAGATGACTCTGGCTCCAACCTACCATATGGACAATGGGAAAATGGTGAAAGGGCGGGCCAGCCGGAATGCCCACATCGCTGTCACACAGTACCAGGTCCTTAGCAGCACTCTGTCTTCGGCACTCCTGGAACTGCAGCCCATTACTGGTGAGAGGGCCCAGGGCCTTGTGCTAAGTTTTGCCCTTGTTTTGAGCCACTGATACTGTAGGTGGGTGAAGGAAGCTGACCCTGTGCTTTTGGTGCTGCTCTGAGACTGAGAGCTCGGGAGGGGGGGGGGAGCACAAAAAATATAGTTTGAATATGTTTATTTAAAAAATACACAAGCTGGGCGCTGGTGGCTCACACCTGTAATCCTAGCTACCCAAGAGGCTGAGATCTGTCTGAGGTTTGTGGTTTGAAGCTAGCCCAAGTAAGAAAGTCTATGGGACTCTTATCTCCAGTAAACCACTCAGAAAAAGCCAGAAGGGCACTGTGGCTCAAGTGATAGAGTGCCAGCCTTGAGCAAAAAGAGACTCAGGGACAAAGCCCATGCCCTGAGTTAATAAATAAAAAATATACAAAGCATGTCCTTGAAAATTTAAATTAGGGGGCTGGGAAGGTGGCTCAGTGGTAGAGCGCTTGCCTTGCATGCATGAGGCCCTGGGCTCGATTCCTCAGCACCACATAAGTAGAAAAAAAAAACCGGAAGTGGCACTGTGGCTCAAGTGGTAGAGCGCTAGCCTTGAGCTGAAGAGCTGAGGGACAGCGCCCAGGGCCAGAGTTCAGGCCCATGACCGGACCCAAAAAAAAAAAAAAGAAAATTTAAATTAGGCTGGATATGGTAGTTCATGGCTATAATCCCAGCTACTTGGAAGATGGAGATCAGGAGGATTGCAGTTTGAGGTCAGCCTGGGCAAAAAGTTGGCAGAATCCAGTATCTGGTAATAGTGTACGTACAGCCATGCAGGAAGCATAAATAGGAGGATTGTGGGCCAGGCTGGTTTGGGTGTAAACATAAGATCTTGTCATCAAAATAACTAAGGCAAGAAGGGCTAGGGGCATGGCATAAATAGTAGAGCACCTGAGTTGAATACCACCACCAAAAGAAAAAGAAAAAAAAATCCCATATAATCTAGCATTTCTATTTGTATATATGTTCTGTATATATTCCCAGAAGAATGTAAAGCAACTGTCTATATACTCTGGTTATAGGAGAATTAGCACAATAAGCAAAAGATGGAGACAACCAAATATCAATGATCAATGAATGGCTTACTTGCTTGCTTTCCTGGTGTTGTGTGGCTGGCACTCTGGGCCACACTTCCAGGTGTGCTTTTTGCTGATTATTTTGGAGATGGAGTTTTAAGGACATTTCTGGCTAAAATATATGATCCTCTAGATCTCAGCCTCCTGAGTAGCTAGGATTAAACACTTGAGCCACTGATGCTTAGGATAAAATGGGTAATTTTATGTATATTTTACTATAAATAAAAAATGTGCAAAATGGGGCTGAGAAGGTGGCTCAGTGGTAGAGTGCTTGCCTCCCATGCATGAGGCCCTGGGTTCGATTCCTCAGCACCACATAAGCAGAAAAACCTGGAAGTAGTGCTGTGGCTCAAGTGGTAGAGTGCTAGCCTTGAGCTGAAGAGCTGAGGGACAGCGCCTAGGCCAAAAAAAAAAAAAAATGTGCAAAATACTACGACTTATTAAAAAAAAAATCAAAGTTATCAAAAAGGAAAAGGTAACCATCAAACTCATGATAATGGTTATGTAGAGTATTTGTGATATTAGTATCATGAGCTGACTGCTACTATATAGCTTATAGTTTATATTACTATGACTAGTATTGGTATTGTTATTACTGGATTGGGATAGAATCCAAGGCCTGGCTCATGCTGGACAAGCACTCTTCCACTGAGCTGCATCTCCAACCATTCTTTCTGTCTGTCTGTCTTTCTTTCTTTTTTTCATTGTGGGGCTCCAACTCTGGGCCTAGGTGCTGTCCCTGATCTCTTCACCTCAAGGGTAGGTCTCTATCACTTGAGCCACTGTGCCAGTTCTGGTTTTCTGATGGTTAATTGGAGATAAGAATTTCACGGACTTTCCGGGCTGGCTTTGAATCATGATCCTCAGATCTTAGCCTCCTGAGTAGCTAAGATTACAGGCGTGAGCCAGCAGCACCCAGCTGGTATATTTTTCGTTATTGCTTATTGAATTTGGGGCATTTCCTGCTACTGTGCTGTGATGTACATCATTTGAAGTAGATGCTAGCACTGGCATTGTTTCTGTAGCTCTTTAAATGCTCTTTCTCTCTTTTTTTCTTAAGGAATAAAGCATCAACTTCGAGTTCACCTGTCATTTGGACTAGATTGCCCAATCCTTGGTGATCATAAGTACTCAGACTGGAATAGGTTGGCCCCTCAGGTAAAATGATTTAGCTCACTGTGCTATGCTTTCTTTCTGTTAAAACCCTGAAAGGGCTGGGCACCGGTGGTTCATGCCTATAATCCTAATTATTCAGGAGGCTGAGATCTGAGGATTTGCAATTTGAAGCCAGCCCAGGCAGGAGAGTCTGTGAGACTCTTATCTCCAATTAATCACCTAAAAACTGAAGTGGAGCTGTGACTCAAAGTGGTAGAGTGCTAGCTTTGAGCAAAAAAGCTCAGGGATAGTGCCCAGGCCCTGAGTTCAATCCCCAGGACTGATAATAATACAACAATAATAATAATAGTAATAAGCCCTGAAAGGAGTCACCACAAGGAGGTATGACCTTCTCCAAATACAGAACCATACTAGTTATACAGTAGTTAGAGACTTCATGAAACTGCAGAATCCATCGGCAAAACCTTACTGCCTCATTTGTTTTAGCCTTAGCTCTTGTTGGGATGTGTGGGCAAGCAGAGCAGTCTGTCTGAAACAGAAGCCATCTTTATCGACTTTCACAGCTGTACTTCATTCTCCTGAAAGGCTATACATTGGCTAGTAAGAGGTTCTTTGGTATGGTTCTCTTTCCTTGCTTTAGCTGGTTCTGAAGCCTTCCTAGGCCTTCCCTGAAGCAGGCTCTCCATTCAGGGCATTAGTGTTGGTTCTTGATAAGTGGAAGTGCTCTGGCCTCACCTGCCGGTTGTGGCCTCCATTGACCTTGCTCTCAGGGATTCATCTTTGCTTTGTGTAGAAGCTTTCTGTTGGCACCCTGAAGAAGCTGGGGCTGCAGCAGTCGAAGGCCCGCCACATTCCCCTTCACCTGCATGCCCGGCAGCTGGTCCTGCCTGCCCTGGGGTCCCGGAAGGAGGAACTCAACTTGGTCTGCAAGCCTCCTCGCTTCTTTGTACATTCTGTGCGCCGTCTGGGTTTGGTGATGCCAAGTCAGGACCAAAGCGGAGACAACCAAGCTGGACAACCAGGAGCACAGTGAAGACTGTTGAGCTGTTTGACCCTGAACTCTTTCCTTTGTTTCATGGAACTAGCTTCTCACTTGAATAGACTCCAGAGGAGCCATGTGGATAAGTTGAGGAATCTTCACCGCTTCAGACTTTTTATTGGAGTATAAAGTCTGTTTGCTGAAAGTTTGATCACACTATGGAAAGGCCTGCTGGAAGTCTCCCTGTCATCCAGTGTCTTTACCAGGAGCCAAGGGCCAGGCAGACTGGGGAGAACTGAAGAACAGAGTCCAGTCAAGAACTGTTTCCATCCAACAGAAAAGCTTGTGAGCGATCGGAAAACACTCCTGTGGCTGGAAAGAACTCGTTATGCTTAAACGCATGGAATCTGAGGGTTCTATTGGAACTAGAATGTGGGTGCTGTACTGCACAAGTGGTGATGAAGCCTGAGAAGGGGGTGTAGGGTGGGGTATTTGATAAGGAAGGGAACTACCAGCTGGGTAACAGAAGTGAGTGAAGCTGGTGGGGTGTAAGGCGTGGTGGGGACAATAAACCAAGGAACACACACACACACGCACACACACACTTTGTAGCAATTTTTAGTACCAGCTGGTGGTTGCCATGTGGGGAATAGCTTTTCTAACTTTATTTTTTCCAAGACTCAGGAATTAGAATCTGTTTGTATTTTTCAAAATAACAACCAAAAAAAAAAAAAAACCAGCTCTCAGGAATATCTCCTAGCCTGTTATCAATTAAATCAAAATTTGAAGAGACCCTAAGACAGCCAAACACATTTGTAAGTTGGCCTTGGCTAGTAGGTTTCAGGTTTCTGATTTGCAGTGTGTTGAATAAAAGGGAAGTCTGGGGCAGGATATCACCTTTAAAGTTGTGGGTCAGTGGTTGGCATTTGTGCTGTGTGTTGTATCCTTCCCACATGATGGGATGACTTTGCTCGATGCACAGGAGTGGTTATAAAGTCACCGCCATTAAAAAGAAAGTCTGTTTTGGAAACAGCCTCCAGTTCTTGGGTTATTTTCCTAGATGGCTCTGCTCAATACCAGTAATACTAGACATGGGGGCCAGGGGCAAGGTTGGCCCGTCCAGCTCCCATCTTGCTTTTCACAGACAATCAGTCTTACACACAAAGGTACCTCACAGTGCTTTGGACTGGGTTGAAAGTTAGAGTAACTGTATAGTCGGAAAGGCCTGCAAACAGCCTTTATATGTCCCTTCTGTACCCCCAAACTCCCTTCCTTATCTGTTGTTCCTCATTCCATGGTTTCTCTTACCTGTGGTCAACCACAATCTGAAAATAGTAAATGAAACATTCCAGAAATGATTCATAAGTTTTCGGTTATACTCCACTCTGTGTAGTATGGTACAATCTTTCACTGTCCTGCTCCATGCCACCAGAGATTTGAAGTGTCCCCTGCCCAGTGTCCCCAGGCAGAATATGGTCCTGCTTCTCAGTTAATAGCCATTAACAGATCAGATACTGTGTTTCAGTAACACAGTACTTGTGTTCAGGTAGCTTTTTGTGAGAATAACAGACTATTCACATGCATTTTATTACAGTAGATTGTTAAACTGGTCCTATTTTGTGAACTGCCTCTGAATTAAACTCGATCCCCAAGCTGCAGATGGCAGGGATGGCAAGGCATAGGGTGGCTTATCATACCAGGCCATCAGGCCTAGACACTGGCCACAGAGCTGGGACCCAGCTGCTGTGAGACTGGAACCAAGTGCGGTAGAGTGAAGAAGATAGGCTCTGGGTACCCAGCACTGCTGGTTTCAGAAGTGGATGAGCAGCTGTGTTCCAAGGTACTTACTCCACAGTTACTCAAAGAAGGGGTCAGTAGACATTCTCTGTAAAGCAAATTGTTTGGATTTTGTAAGTCATGTGATCTGTCACAACCACTGGACTGCCTTTTTTTTTTTTTTCTTTTTTCTTTTTGGTTGGTTGTGGAGCTGGAACTCAGGGCCTGGGTGCTGTCACTAGTGCTCTACCACTTTGAGCCAATTGGAGATAAGAGTCTCACCTTTCCTGCCTGAGCTGGCTTCCAACTACAATTTTCATTTTTCCAGCCTTCTGCGTAGATAGGATTACAAGCATGAACCACCAGCACCTGGCTTGCACTGGCTTGTACTAGCTTGGACAAGATAGCCACAGATCCACAATCCTGTTGCACAATACCAAATCTTTTGATTTTTCTCAGCAGTTCATGAAATCGTTTATTCCTCACTTACATTATAACCCTCTAGTTTCACTTGCTTTCAGTTGACTTAAAAACAAACAAAAGACTGAATGAGTCATCAGTGGCTCATGCCTTTACTCCTAACTACTCAGGAGGCTGAGATCTGAGGATCTTGGTTCAAAGCCAGCCCAGACAGGGAAGTCCATGAGTCTCTTATCTGCAATAAACCATCAGAGAACTGGAAGTGATGCTGTGGCTCAAGTGGTTAAAGCCATGAGCTGAAGAGCTGAGGGACAGCATCCAGGCCCACAGTTCAAGCCCCACTGACTGACAAAATCAGCCTCCCGGTGGCCTACTGGCTCCAACTTGTCCCACCCCCAATAGGCATTTCAGCTTTGGATTCATCAATGGATTAATTTGTTGGTGAAATTATGCCCTCAAGATCTAATCACCTCTCAATAATACTGACATTTGGGGACTGAGACTCTTAGCTTTTTGAGGGGACACTTCATTTCCAAATCCTAACAGTGACGAACTGGATGTGGGGATGGATGAGAGGGAGGGTAGAAGAGTGACTTCCTCCCATGGGATTGTTTGGTATTGTCACATTTGAAGGTCCCAATGGGGTGAATCTAAACAGACAATCGGATATGATTTTATTTCATTTATAGTATTAAAATGAATAAATGAAATGCATGTATTTACCACCAGATGGCAGCCGCCTCCCAGATTTTATTCCTTTCCTACCTAGTCGGTGACAGTTTATAACTAAGATCAAGTGTCCTCCACAAGTCATTTTCTCTAACCCTATAAATCTTACTCTGACTGTTTTAGTGTTATAAATCTTGGCTCCCCTTTCTTTTTATTTATTCTTTTAGCTATCTGGAACCTGGCCTTTTCTACTCTCTGGTAGAAGTAAATTAGTAGAGGAGATCATTTGTTGAGCTGCTCCAGTGAAGTTGAAATAAAATTTGATCCAGACACACAAAGTCATAAGAGCACTTCAGATTCATTTTATTAAAAATATGGAAAATATGATCAAGCCAGTCACAATCAACAAAAAGCCTAATAGGGCTACTCTGGAGGCTGAGAACTGAGGATCATAGTTCAAAGCCAGTAGGCAAACAAACAAAATCCATCAAATTCTTATCTCCAATTAACCAGAAAAAGGTAGAAATGAAGGTGTGGCTCACTCAAGTGGTTGAGCACCAGCCTTGAGCAGAAAAGCCAAGCAAGAATGTGAGGCCTGGAGTTCAAGTTGCTGCACACACAAAACAAAAAACAAAGCCTAATAGGATCATGTATTTTTATTCAGCACGTGACTACACAGTTTAGCTAAGACCTTGAACACCTCTGGTTCCTAGCTTAATGTACTAACAAAAGTTGATCTGATGCCCCAATTTGATAATCAGTCATGTTTTTGCCTACATAAAATTAGGTAGGTGAATTGTTATTTACTAAATAACAGAGTGTCAGATAAGAGTGCCTGTTGGAAAACTTCTGCTGCCGGAATGGCTTTTAGATGGACTGAGCAAGCCCTTGTCCTCTGCGGGCTCCCTTGTTCCTCTGACCGCCTGTCTCACACACCATGAGGGATCCTTAGGCTCCTCAGGTCTCTGAACCTCCTGTCTCCCTTTGACTCTCAGCCTCCATTTTCCCCAGCACAAGCTACCCAGATTACTCCAGTTCCAGGAGGGTAGCTACAGAAAGGGGACAGCCAGCACCGCAGCCTTTCCTACCACCAAGCTGGCCAGGGCGCCCCTGACTCCAAGTCCCTGTCCTCTTTCAGCACTCTGGGAGCGATTACTGTCTGTCCATCATCGGGAGCCAGGAGTGATGACCTGGATGACTCGGCCTGAGGGCCTGGGAGACAGGGAACCCACTTTGATGTGAGCTATGAGGTCAGGCAGGGCAGGAGGTGAGGGACTGTGGACATAATCCCCTCTCCCATCTCGGGCTTCCTGGGAAAGACGCCAATATGTCTTCCTCACCCCTTTTATCTCTTCATTCTCTGGAGCCAGTATTCCTCTGCCCCAAACTCCAGACAGCTCTAGGCAAACAGCTTGAGTTTCTTCATCCTGTACCTTCAGCCTAGATACGGAGGGGTTTGTGATGGCCACGCTCATCTGCCTGCAGCACTTGAGTTATATTTCGTTTTCTGCTGGTCTGGGGCTTGAACTCAAGGCCTCCCAGCACCTTCCCTTAGCTTTTTCGCTCAAGGCTGCCACTTTACCACTTGAGCCATGGCTCCACTTTTGGCTTTTTGGTGGGTAATTGGAGATTAGAACCTCACAGACTTTCTTGCCAGGGTTAGCTTCAACCTGTGATCCTCAGATCTCAGTCTCCCGAGTATTTAGGCTTATGGGTATGAGCCATCGGTGCCCAGAGCAGTTGATTTTTAAGGGGTATGTGGTTTTGGCTTTACAAATGAAGCACCCAATTCTGAAAGAACTTCCTCCTTGGAAGTTAAGGGTCCCAACTCTGGGAGGGGCCTCAGATCTCAGTACTCGGCTTGTGACTGGATACTGGAATCCTTCACCTCTACTTTTACCTGTTACCTGCCAGACCTGGTCTGACACAGTCACACAAGCTAGACAGCTTCACTCTCACTGTGGAGAAGACAAGATGAGAGGAAGGGAATGAAAGACAAATCAGATAGGGGGGAGTAAGCTATGGCTATCAGAAACTTGCCCCCCACCCCCCAAAACACACACATACACTGGGCCTAAAAGGCTGCCAGCTCATCTTGGCCTGGCTTGAAAGTCTGGCCCTTTTCCTGTCTAAAGTTACAGAAAATTCCAGAAGTTTCTCTGCCCCTCCACCCCCACCCCCACTTTCTGGATTTAAACCAGATTTCCCTTTTCTCCCTATTTCCTTAGCCTAGGGAGGGAGAAATCAAGGAGGCAAGAACTTAAGGTTTAGAAGAGGGCCTCACCGAAGGCCTAGAAAGCTAATGACAAAGGCAACTTCAATTTTCAGCATGTGTTGTCCATGCAACATACTGTCTTTTTTAAAATCTTCAATAATGAGCCAGCCACTGGGAGCTCATGCCTATAATCCTAGCTACTCAGGAGGCTGAGATCTGAGGCTCATAATGCAGGGCCAAGCCTGGATTTGAATAGTCTGTGAGATTCTTATCTCCAATTAATTACCAAAAAATCTAAAGTAGAGCTGTGGCTCCAGTGGTAGAGTGCTAGCCTGGAGTAAAATAGCTCAGGGGCAGCACCCAGGTACTGAGTTCAAACCCCAGGACCAGCAGGTACCAAAAAAAAAAAAAGAAGTGAATAGGACATAGTCTATAATCTTGGTCTCTAAATAAGACCATCTTTGAGGACCTGGAGCCTAATAATCTGAGATTGCTCATTTTGGAGAACTGGCTGATACTCTCAGC